ATCCTACATTTCTAACAACAATTTAAATTGCATCTTTTAGTACATTTTTTTATTATATCATTTTATTCGTTAATTAGGATCATCAAACGAATGAGTAGATGTTATAATATGAGGCCAAAGGCACTACACCGTTTAAATTTCAACGTACTTGTAATTTTTTAAATAATCAAAGCTTCTCTCACATTTATTTCAGCGTATATTTAACATAGCATCACGAAATATATTTTCTAACAGAATGTGCTTAGTGACCGTTCGGTTCAAGCGTGCAGCAGGGCAGGGCGTTCGACGTCCATGACCAATACACGCTGTTGTGTTATGATTACTGAGCGGCTGCTATAATTGTCGGTTTCTTGCACCGCCAAGCCGCACGCTAAGGCAAAAAGCTCAAAGTTCATTTACATAAAATACATGAATATTGACGTTTACAAGGTCGTGATTGGTTTTTTTTTTTTCATTTTTATAATCAACTAGCTGACCCAACAGACGTTATCCTACCTTTTCCGATAGGTGACGCTAAATTCGCTACGGATATTTTACATTATAAATAGAAAATTTATTAATATCTCGACCACAGAATGTAATTCTCTTGTTTGTAAACCAACATATTTTGTAAATATAAGTCATTTTGGTTCATAAATAATTTGTTTACAACTTAACCTATCGGAGTCTAGCCTATGTATGAACCATTTTCTCGTTAAAACAAATCCATTGTGTGAATATGACCTCAATTGGTCAAATCGTTCAAAGTAACGAGATCACTAGAGATCTATAGATGCATCATATATAGATATAAAGATATGCTATTTTTTGTTATTAGGAGCTGAGTTACAGCGACAACAACAAGATTGGGTAGGGCCTCAGTAGAAAGTAAATAGGTATTGAGTCGTGACCATCACACTGCAGTATAGTATTACAGTGTCTCCTGTGTGGCGGCCGCTCGAATTATATCGGAAATGCGTCACAACGCCACACGCTCTGCTAAACGCTCTCCACTCAGGCCTTACCTTTATTAGTAAAAACAAAACATTTTGATGCAAATGTCATTTAAAGTTCAGTCTATTGGAACACACAGACGTTCGAAAGGTGCGGTCGAGTGTGGCAACACATTGTGCATTCTTGTATCGTTCTAACGTAATTATATTAAATAGAAGCAAATAATATTTCATCACTTCTTTCCTAGCAATATATTACAACATATTTTGCTATCGCGTTTCTCATTAGCTTTACGGCACCAATTTACAATTAGACACAAGGGACTGAGGTGCGAGTACTTGCCAACCTCATGTCATAGTTAACCTAAGCTCCCTTAGCTTTTAATTCTTAAAGGTGGCAGGGATAAATATGAGATGCGATGCGAACACCTCAGTACTGACCGTAAGTGCACTGATATACACTCGAAACCTCGGGAGTTTAAAATGTAACATTAAATTATATTTTTGCTATCAATAGTTTATTTTTAACTAAGTGAATATGTAATTTTTAACGCTTCAAGTATTATGTCTTATTAATGTTCATAAAGAACAACGCTAGTTTATTAATCTATATATCAGTGGTAATATACAATAACACACAATTCATTGCACGGTTTTTCATCTTCTAATGACATTTCAGGCAAGCTCCTCGCATTCTAATTGTCTTGATAGCTTAGCGGTAAGAGCGCCCTCCGAGGCGGTGGGAGACCCAGGTTCGAGTCCCGGTCAAGACCACGGATGCGAGGCGAGTGGCCCGATCGTGTCGTGAGCGTAATTACTAATTGATCGCTAAGCACTCGACCGTACTGTTCGTGATATATCTATTAAACTGTGCACAATAAATTCGTCGATGGCAACTTGATCGAATCGCCGATCACAAAAGCCCGACCCAAGTGTTTTTTCTCTCTCCCTTCCCCACCCTTTAGTCTGACCGCTCTCAAGAGATTCTTATTTAGATTCGCTTCCGTCTGATTGCTCTTGGTAATCTTTTCGCTGGGTTATTGAATGTTTTCTCGGTGCGTGTGCACAAATGGCGGAAGCTCGCTGCGACTTCGCAGCCACATATCTCTGTTCTTGGCTGCATATTGATGACTACGTGGTTTAGTGGGGTGTAAAGAAATCAATGAATGGCTAAATAGTTAAACGCTACTCGATTTTAGGAAGTCGTTAAGTGTCGTGGTGTCACGGTACTTTGACTTTAAATGATAGAAATTGTACGAGGACTTAACGGCATCTTAAAATTGAAAATCGTTTGAGTATTGAGGCGTAAGTCATTAGTCCTGACCTTATATTATAGCAAAAGTACTTATTGCGAACATACTAATTATTATAATAAAGAACCAACAAATCCTACACAGTTGACAACTTTTGGACGCCGACTGAAAGGATCTCTAGCCTAGTCGATGTATATTAGTAATCTATACGGTTGTCACGCTAGCCTGTATATACAGTGTTAGTTTGCAATAACCGGCCAAATTTGCAGAAAAGGTTCAAAAGAAATGGTGAAGAACAGTTAATTAAAAAAATCTGAATAATTGTGTCATTTTTATCTTTTAAATTCTTTTAAGATTTTAAATTTCGTTCATTTTTTCTTGTAAGATTTTACTGCGCACGCACACATTCGTAAGGGTCGATCGGTGGGCAATAACGTTGTTACCCATAAATTACATTAAATTTGGGATAATTTCAAATAAAATATAAGCCTTATTTACTCGTAATTTCAAAAACTGCAACAACGGTATATCATTGTGAATACATTTTAAGTAAATTTTAAAATTTGGCTACTCTGAAAAATAACCCTATATACACACCAGTATACCTGTACCAGTTTGCTTATTAACAGATCTATTGCTGTCGCGCTGCGGCCGAACAATCGAGCTGGACAACTGAGAGACAACTGCAGCTCGAGCTAATTACACCTATGAAAGAATGAAAAACCATTATTTGGTATTTCCCTGTTACCTTCTCCAAAACTGGCCAATTCTTAATTATTTTAAGAACAATATAAGAATTGTTGTGGTTGTCAGTATGTTTTTCATTTTTTTAATGTAAAACTTATACGATAGACTAGCTGTTCCCCGCGACTTCGCTCGCGTGTTAGGGGTTTTATGTTTTTGCGCGGAACCCTAATTCTTTTTTTTTTTTAAATAAAAACCTGTTAGTGAAAGTCCCGTCAAAATAGGTCGAGCCGTTTCGGATATTAGCCGGAACAAACAGACAGACAGACAAAAATTTTATAAATTGTGTTTTTGTTATAAGTACCGTATATACTTTCATATACAATTAGTAAAACACTGTAATTTCGACATTACAAACAGACACTTCAATTTTATTTATTTGTATAGATGTCTGATAATGGCGGTAAAACTAGGCAAGAGAAGGTTCCTATTTTTATAAATATTCAGTTTATGAAAAATCAAAACATAGGAACGTGAACTGTCTGTCCAGATTTCCTCATAATTTGTGGATATTTTATATTTTGTGCAGAAAATTTGAGAAACTAAATAGGATTAAAAAAAAAACTTAAGTAATTCGTATTGTTGTCGGTTTTTGATACGTTTGCAAAAATTCTGATTATTGTGACGTTCGGAAGTGGGTGAAAATTGAATTTTAAAATTCCATTATATTTACACAACAGGTGTAGCTAATAAAAACGTGATAAAAATAAATCTGTCGTTTTTAAATTCAGCAGACTCAAAAGAGTATCTGTTTTGGTACCTGACGCTTTATCTTCACATAAGAAGCAGTTTCTTTAAAGTCAGTTTTATTTAAACGTTTAAATTTAAATATATTGAAACCCAAACCCAAGATCAAAAGTGAATATCTGTCAGAGGTTACAACAAAGCGGCTTGTTTACGTTTCATTTTCTACTAGCAATTATATCCGACTTCGTATGAGCGCGTCTCACTAGTGTTAGCTGGTCTTTTTTTTGACTCTATCATAAAATTTAATTTTTCTACTATCCTTGCTTACATAAAATATTTAGTATTATTTACGAAAACCTTCCTCAATTCATAAGTAGTTTTAAGCGAATACACACGCACACGAAGATAAGCAACTTTGTATTTAGTGATATAAATGCCCTCCAAACGGACGGGCGTCCGCCAGGGATAAAATTCTTGTTGCATCCATATCGAAAATAAAATTTGAAGATTTATGCACGGTGAAGAGAGCGACGTTGCGTTGCCGCGCACCGGGCTATTTTCAACTGGGTTATGCTTTAAATAGCGCATTACGATAGGATTTGGTTTCACGAGTTTTTCCCTGTTCCCGGCCCCCAGACCGTCACGTTTCGACCGACGGCGCCCACACAAAGAATTTTTCTGCGAGATTATTCCTCAGCCACTCACTGATATTACTTCTTATGGACCACACCTACGCAATTTATATATTTAATAACTGTAATGACAAAAGTGACAAGCATAATATATGGAAGATACATGTCTTCTTCGTGTTATAATGGTATGTCGCTAGTTGAAGCATTGAACATGAGCTTAGCGGATGTTACTGTTACATTGGTACAGCACCTGTACCTGTCCGGAGTGGGCACCACATATAACTCACCTGTCACGGTCTTATATTTAAAACACGAGAAAACCCTTTATGAATTTCAGAATGTTAATTTAAAAATGAATCTTTATAGTTCATAATAATAAAAGCGTAATAAATAGGCGAATCGACTTGCATTTAAAGTAAATGTACAATATTTTTTATAACATCATTTAAAAAGATATAAATGTTATATATGTTAATCCCCTTTCTCTATTTATATTCTAATAGTTCTTCATTATAGAATTATCACGAACTAGCTCTATGTTAAGTTACTTACAGTTCACAATAAGCTATTGCTCGCAAATAACAAACTTGAGGTAACGCTGTGTTCGTGCGAAGGCACAAGAAGACAGTGCTACTTCACAGGCAGCGCGGGCCTGTGTGCGGCCGCGGCGCGCTTGCTAACCCGGTAGCCGCTTGAGCTTGGCTCCGGGGCCGACCGCCCGGAGAGTAACCAGTGTGTTTTGTTGTTCGCAGAGTTGAGCCCCGCACCGCACCGGCTTGCTCGCTGACCGCCGAGCCGCTAATCTCGCTTTTTTCGCGCCCCACGTCGCCCGCCCAGACCTGCACACCGGCCGCCGCCGCCGCCATGCCCGCGCAACAAGCACCGCTCGCCCTCTACTAAACTCGACCGTCGACATCGATACCAACGCGTGTGATAATAATAATTTAATACTTGCCTAAAAAGCTTGCAACATCGGTGTCTTTCATTCTAACTTAACTGTAAGATTAATATTTAATAAGTTAATCATCGTTTTAAATCGTGTCTCTACGCGAGTGCTGTAGTGTGTGCTAGTGAAGGGTTGCAGGCGCTACTAAGTGGCCCCATTAGCGCAGCGAGTGTTGGCAGTGCATGCTCAAAGCGCTTGGGCGCGCTCGCCCCGCGGCTTATGCACCGCACCCGCTCAGCGTAACTGCGTGCGCGACTCCCCCCTCCCCCTAGAATCCAGTGATAACGATGGCAACCATGGTGAACATGAATAACCTCCTCAATGGCAAAGACTCACGTTGGCTGCAACTGGAAGTGTGCCGCGAGTTCCAGCGGAATAAGTGTTCGCGACCCGACACCGAGTGCAAGTTCGCACATCCCCCGGCAACCGTCGAGGTGCAGAACGGAAGAGTCACCGCTTGCTACGATAGCATCAAGGTAAGTGTCACTTGTAATTTAATCTTTACTTAATTATTCCAACCGTTTAAAAATAGGTTTATGATTTTACAACTCAATTACAACCCTAAACGCAACATTTCCGACGCCGCCATTTCGTGCGCCGACCTCCATACCAAGGCTAGCACATAATGACGTCAACCGCCCTACCGTAACCACCGCCGTTTAACATTGTATGGGAATTGGCATCGCAGTAAAATAATGAGACGGATGATGACACGACGACGCCTTCATATGAAGCAAAACGAGACGGATTCATTTAAAAGCCATTAGTCACTTGTTAGACTTCTTTTCAAATTGAAAGAACAAGGATTTTCTTCCTCGTGTGTGATTTCATTGACATCACAAACTTAGTCGCTATTTTCAATTTTAAGAATTTCGATAAAGATTAGTACAATAATAATTTACCGGCTAGTATTTTATACGATACGGCGTTATCAGGTCGCGGAATGACGTGATTTTGTGTATGTATTTCGGGCATACACAGCATGATAAAAATTAAATTCAACATGTAAACGCACCTCTGCTGTTACATCGCCCGAAGCTGAAACTGATAAGGCATTCAGTCGGTCGGCTATCGAAAAAATATAGTAAATTTTGTTTATAAGTGCACCGTTTATTCGTTTTAAAACAAATGGCGTCATTTAAATTACTGCCTCATAGGTGCGATATTTGCCAAAGTCGCCATGTTTTTTTTATTCAGCTATTATCACGAAGATGGTACTGCCCATCTCTTGACTAAGTTTTCCTCTGTCGCCTCTTGCAACATCTACGGGATGATATAGGATAGTGGATATACTAACACCGCCACTACACGGTAAATTCGGGTCATTCAAATTGTTTCGCGTTATTATTACTTATTTCACAGCTCCCTGAAGTATATTTGCAGGAACAGTGTTAATATTCATAACATTGTATCGTTCACTTAACAAAGAAATTGAATTGTATTGTCGCCTTTCAATATTTTTCCGTATCATTTTCCTTTGATGCTCGGTTGAATAACGCGATCAAGAGATAAAACACACCGGGATCCGGGACCAAGCTTGTTCGCTCAGCGAACGCTTTAGACGAGGTAAATTCGGGACGACTCCTGTTTGCGGCAATCCCTATTTGCAATGTGTTCTTGTTACCTCCGCTAACGCTGCTGACTGCTGCAGTACTGTGTGTGCTGAGGCCGGTAGATGACATATCGCTCCGCTCTGAACATTACGCTGCACTTCGAAGAATTTTCCTAAAAAGATGTGCTCGAAACGCAATATTGTAATATAAATGCAAAATTTTATAGTATATTATGATTTGTGACATGTTTCAATTGCTATAAATGAGCTTATGGTTTTGTAAATCGACTTCCAATGGATCTATTTTAAAATAAAGAATATATTTGCGATAGCTTCATTATTGAATTAGGTAGGGTTCTAAAAGTACTTTTATCATTTTTGTGTCTCTAATTTGACGTGTAGTGACGGTGGAAGAATATCGGCTACCCCATATCCCGTGGGTATCGTATAAGTCGACAGAGGGAAACAAACTGCCCATCTTCAGCAGCAACGTTTTTCTAATAACAACTGAAAAAGAAGAACTACTGAGAACAGAAAGGTCTCACTAGTTCAATGCTTGAACTAATCAGTTAAACTTGTGGGAACTTAGCATATTATGTTTGATATACATATTATATCACTTTCTACTATCCGTAAACGAAATCCATCATTATTCTACTAAGAAATTTGAGAGAGTTAGGATATTTTGCAGGGTTTTGTGCGAACTATATATACTATCAGCGAAACTCAGACATGTGTTGAAGTTCGTTGCGGTAATTCGCTTAAAACCGGGCATCATGTATAGTCCGAGACGTTAAACAATGGGAAGGCGTGCATTGTGCGGGCTTTGTGCACCGGAGTATCGGAGTATCGCACAATGAGGCCGCCATCGCCGCGACCGCCCTGCCATGATCTTATCTACTGCTTTGAGAGCCATCTCCTCACTCGTGTTGCTTATTTGGTCTTGGAATTGAAAGACAGTATGCACTGCGCCCCCTTATCGCCTGTTAATGTGCGAACTTGAGTCGAGTGTGTTAATTTGGTACACGTCTCGGCTTTAATGTGCAGTTCTCAAACGCTACTGTAACAACTTCGGAACAAGTTATTTAATTAAATTTAGCGAGTTATCACAATTATTGTTTGCGTGCATTCAAATTTAGTTTGCTTATTTGAGTAGAGGCTGTTCATTTACGAGGAAGCATGTTTTGTTGGTATGCCTCATAGCCTTTAATTGTATTGATTGACTTGGTGACAGCTAGTTAGCTATTTTGTCTGTCACCAAATCAGCATTGTAGCACGAATAGGTCGACTCAACCGGGCAAGGATTACGCTCTCACATAATACCAGCTCAAAATAGCAGCTTAATGCTACTGTGTTTCGTATGGTGAGTGTAGAGAACCGGAGACCCTTTTTACTGAAAAAGTGGCATTCGATATAAGCCCTCACGGCTGACAGCGCATCTGCATTTTGATTCGTAACCGAGGATAGATGTAAATGTTTATGAACAACACGAACCATTTACCATCAGGTGGACTGTGTGCTTGCTTGTTTCCCTTTTTACTGGAATGACAACTGTATTTTGATTTTTAATCGAAGTTAGATGTATATAAATGTCTATGCGCTACAGCATCCACTAAAATACTCTTCCGTCAAGTACACAACATCAGCAACCTCGTCGAACGAATCGCACTGCAACATAACGTGGCTGACCTTTCCCACCGATAACTCTCAGAGATGAGAAAATTATTCGTATTTTAAATTCAATCACTAACGGTTGAAAAGTGTAGAATGACTATTTTAATGTAATAATTTAGACAACATTCTAGTTGTTATCTTGAACTTGTGATGTTCCCAAAACCACTCAAAAGGGTAAACATATAGTCCCGTGTGCAAACGTACCTGTCCTGTTTTTTTACTTGTTTTAAATTTAATTTTCCTGTCTTTCCTTTTATCGTGTATTCTATTACTTTGATTACAACAGTTTGAGGAGTGTTTTGAGCCTTGGGTTCCAATTTTAATGAAGTTAGTATTTGTGAAAACGATAAATTGTTTTCATACAAAATTTATTTTGATTACTGTTGTATTTCTGTTCAATAATTTAAGGTATTAAATTAACTGCAATGTTTCTATTTAAGTTGGTTTTAGTGTTTGCACAATAAACCAATAAATTAAAGTGAACGATACTAAAGTAACTACATCGAGTCTCAATGTCGGTCGGAAACGTAGCGTCCAGATATCTAACGGGGAGGGAAAATAAACAAGTATTTTACCCGGCGCATCTACTTCACCACTATTGCTTTGTTGTGTCCGCGTATATTAAATTGGTCGTCTAATCGCAAAGCAAAATTGTTATCGTTATTGCAGCTCCGTACATTATTGTATTCCTCGTTGACATAATATATTCAGCTCTTATACCGCGTTCTTATAAATTACTAATCAATTTCGAATTTATTGTGTAACATAAGAAAGCACCTACATAATGTATTTTTTGCATATAATATGTCTTGACACAACAACTCGACCTTTGAACCATGGTAGATGTTTTGAGATTATTTTGTGTATAAAAAACAATGTTAATGTAATCAATAATAATAATCAATCAATTTATCAAAGTTAAAAAAAAATCTCGAAAATAATATCGCTATATCTTGCTGACGTAAAAAATCAGTTATGTCATGGGACATGCAATGAAAACCGTTTTAATCGCAATTGAGACAGTTTGTCTTTTCCCTTTGTCCAGCATTATGGCTGAAGACCTAGTAAGATATTATATTCAATATAACAAATAATCTTAATCAGTAAGGAACTAAACTAACCAATAAAACGTAGTATGCAGTCCACCTGATGGTAAGTGGATGTTGTGGCCCATAGACATTTACATTTATCCTCGATTAAGAATCACACGTATCTGCATACGCTGTATACCCCTGAGGATTAAGATGGAATGCCTCGTTTCCATTAAAAAGGAACCTCCGTTTCTCTACACTCACCATACGAAACACAGCAACTTTAAGCTGCTATCTTACGCTGGTATTCTGTGAGGGCTTGATCTTACCCCGGTCGAGCCGACCCTTTCGTGTTACAACCATAATATAAATGCAACGTGGCTCTACCACTTATAAATCTTCACGAACGTCGTTATGGGAACGTCATCGAAGTATTTAAATTAATTAAACTGCCGCGCTAACCTTTTCGAGGTGTCGTTTTGTATAAAGCGCTTTGTGAAAATGAAAACCCATATAAAGCGTTAGTTCCCAGGAGCAATCTTCGCGAAACTTGTCGCCGAAGCGTATTAGTATCGAGGAGTGTTCAAACAAGGGCTCGCCCGCATGCCGCGCCCCGCAAATATGTCTCCCATGATTAAGCCTTCAATTACGTGATATGACGAGGGGGGTCATATTTGATTAGGCGCCGTGTTGTGTTGATTAAACCGAACTTATTCACTTTGTTCGCCCACGCGCGTCACGTCTCACTCATACGATACACCTTTACCGGCAAACCGGATTCCTGAATGTCTTCTCGCCTAAAAGGCGACTATCAATTTCGTAAGTCGACATTAAAATGGCCGTGAATCACTAACCGCGCACGCTGCGACGATTACGGAGACTACATGTTCGGATAGGGTATTATAGACGCCCACTCTTATTAACACGACATAGTACATTAAATTTCTTGTAACAACCAACGTGCTGACATTTTTTTTTATTATCGCTTATCTACGGCTTGAAATAGAGGTGCACAGGGTTATCTTAAGTCGTGCAAATTATAATAAAGAAGTATTTTTATTTAAGTAAGAGTGACAAACGAACACGCAGTCCACCTGATGGTAGTAAGTGGATGCTGTGACCCATATCTAGACATTATTATGTAGGTAGAGAACGTCTTAAGGCGTTAAGTTCGCATTTATAAATTTTTGTGCGCCAAAGTTTAAATAAATAAATAGAC